CTGTGTCTCGTATATGCCTGCTTGACCTTGCAAGTGTTTGATGTTCCCTGAGTTTCTATGTTCATGCTTTCCAAAAGCACTTTGTGTGTTCTAAATAATAATAATGCTCCATACTCATTTGTTTGACTACAAGCTGTCTGCTAGGCTTGCACAAGCAGGTGCCCAGGTCTCTTTTGTAAATTGTGGTTGATCAATGCCAAGTTTTCTTTTGTGATGGAACAAATTGTTTTGTACTTTGATTTGAAGAATCTAGCCTAACCAAATCTATGTGATATCACGCAATCCGGTTTCTGTTATCAATGTTATCTTATAATTTGTCATAGTTTCTGTTTTTATAGTATATTAGTGGCTTCTGTGGAAGCAACAATTCTTGCTATGCATGAACGAAATTGATCTGTGGTATCATCACTGACCTTTTTCAGAATCTTATTTCTTTGGTTTGTGCTATGCATGCATGAGCATAACTCATGCATCCAACTCTCTAAATTTTTTTTGGACTTGAGAGGTGTCATGAAGAAAACACAACATGTGATTTACTAAGATTGACCAGTAATCGTCGTTGATAACATGGAAACCTTTTATAAATACTTGTATTGTTCTCCTTTTATGCTGTGATATATTTTTATCATCCTACAACTTATCAGAATGAATGAAGCTTAGTGTTCATATTAGCAGTTTGAATTTTCTTTTATGCTGGTTATATTTGCTGTTAGAGAAATTTCACTGATTTTTGGCATCTTCTTATTGCATATCTCTTTGTTCAAGAATTTTTACAAGTTTGGTTTCTGTTGCCTGATGCACACAGTAAGAAGTATGCAAAAGCTGTTTCAACACTTGGAACATTTAAGCTCATTATTTTCTGCTTTTTCTCTTAAATGGCAAATGTTATAAATAATGACTGGTGGAACATACACAATCCTTAAGTGAACACACATGCAAATTGATCGGAAAAGAATCCATTTATGGACAAAGCTCTACCCTTGTGCTTCTATTTGCCTCTTGCCTGAAGCAAAACTTCAAGTTTATGACCGTTATGACTTCTGAGTTGATCCTGTTAATAGTTGCAACCTTTTTGGAGAGCATAGGAATTGCAGCACTTCTTCTCTGTGCTATTCAATAAATTCTGACTTTAATATATGAATGATCATACTCAAATATGCCTTGTGTGTGATCAGGTTTTGATCTCATGTGGTGTGCCACGTGAACAAGGCCTAACAAGTCGTACAGCTATAGAAACTCCTTTGGCTGTAAATGGATTCAACAACCAGGCATTACGTGTCTCATCAGACAAACAACAGCTCTCTCAATCGAACTACGGGACTGACATTACAGTTCCTACTCTGCAGAAGCAGCCCCAGTCAACAGGAACATCTGCTGAAGGATTGGATGGAAATGGAATGGCAGGTCCAAGCATTGCTCCTAAAAAGAGAAGGAAACCATGGACCAAAGAGGAGGATATGGAATTAATAGCTGGGGTGCAGAAGTTTGGGGAAGGGAATTGGGCAAACATTCTTAAAGGAGATTTCAAGCACAACAGAACTGCTTCGCAGTTATCTCAGGTACTATTTAGAATGACAAGATGTTCCTCTCTCCTTTCTTTGAGGTTCTTCTCAACAACATGATTGTTTGTGTATCGCTAGTTACTGATTTGACAAGCCATAAACTCCCAACTATTTGAGGTCAACTATTTATCTATAGATTAATTTAGTTGTTTCTCTTTCAAGGGCTGATTTGTTATTTACTATGATAAAATTTACTGTTTCCAAATTTTGTTGATCTCTCGATGTCACAAATCCTCTTCTGTTTACTCCTACAAGAAAATTGGTGGCATCTCGGTTAGTATTGACTGCAGTTCAAGTGATCAGACTGCAGTAGCTTATAGCTAGATACTCAATAGGTTAGTTATCTGGGAAATAAAGCTTACGTAACTGCCATTGGTTATCAGCTAGTGGAATTATCTGGTGGAAAAGGAAAATAGACCACATGAGAACAGAGCAACCCCTGACAGTTCATTGATATCTGGAAGATACCTCAGAGAGGAATCTGCAAGTGTATTATATAACAAGCCAGATCTTAAACAGCAATTCATGCAATTCATGCAATTCATGCAATTTAAAGGATCGCAGTTCATCCCTTTGTTCTTTTCTTTTTGTTTTTGTTGGCCGAAGCATATGTTATTTGTTACTTTTCCTGCATCTGCTTCAATGCTTACTTTTCCAGCATGATAATAAGTTGTATATCCTTTAAATTTCTTCAGAGATGGGCCATCATTCGGAAGCGCGACACCAACTTACTTGCCAGTTCTGGAAACAAGTCAATGAGCTCGACCCGATCTGAGGAGAGGCTGGCAACACAAAAGGCAATTTCGTTGGCTCTTGATATGCCCAATTCTGGAAGATTATCAGCTATACTATCAGGTTTTTTCTCTAGTACTTGATCAGGATTTTTTATAATTCTTTTTGTACTTCAGCAACACATGCACGTGTAAACTGTTAAAACACCCAGCATAGGGAGCAGGTTTCATATCTTTCACCCTTTTAAGGGACCCACTTTGAACTTTTCTTCATCAATATGTTGTTTTCTTCACAAACTTAGGCTTATGAAGAAAATCAAACTTCACTGCGATTTTAAATTAGGTGGAACACAATCAATTACCCCAGCAAGTTCTTCTGCACTCTCCGCTGCGCTATCTGAAGCATTGCCAGTTTCGAGTCAACCACTTAATCAACTTCAACAAGCTTCCACTCTGGCAACATCTCAAAAGATAACCTTGAACACTTCGAACAAACCTCGGACAACCCCGAAAAAGTCAATGGTCCCTGTGAAGCCTTCTAGCGGTCCAAATTCTTTGATACAAGCTGCTGCATTTGCTGCAGGGGGGCGCATTGCTACACCTTCCACTGCTGCCTCTTTGTTCAAAGCTGCACAATCTAAAAATGCTGTTCATATCAGGCCTGGTGGAGGTGCTCGACCTTCTCCAATTAACAATGTCAAAACATTGGCTGTTACCAACTCTACAGGCCCGCAATCCACAGGTGTCCGCATCAGCAGACCTTCTGTTATGGCTGGACCACCTGCAGCAAATCCAGTTTCAGTGTCATCTGGCACAAGGTATGGATGTCAGCAAGTGCAAGGCTGCTCTGGAAGGGTTGGAAGCAATCCTCTAAACACCACATCAACAAATCAGCAGGAAATCATAGAGTCCAATTCAGGAGAAGTTTCACATGAAATGACTGAGCAAAAGGGTGATATTGATATCTCTTCAATTGATGTGGATGAATTATTAGCTGAAGAGGTAAAATGTGTTGATGAGATGGAATTGGATGGTACAATGTCTCATGATGATCAGATGGATCTTCTGAGTTTGGATACAAACACAAATGAGGACAATGATTTTAACAATACCTATGATGCACAAGCATCTGTGGACGAGCAGATGGATCCCCCAGATTCAATGGTTGCTGAGAATATTATCATGGAGAACAATGTAGTTTCCTCTGATGTTGAAGCAGCTGAGAGCAAAGCCCTCGAAGTTGATGATAATGATGACCAATTTTTACTTGAGAAGGGGACTGCATCATTCAATGGTGAGCAGAACAAGATTTCACCTGTGGGAAACTTGAATGCCCAGGACCATATTGTAAATCAAGAACAGTTAATCAGTGAGGAAGTTATGGCTGACAACGTCAGGGAGAGCTGCACTAATGATCAGCAGCATGCTCTTCCAGAGGACACTGCCTCAGGCAGTAAAATCCCCATCGATGATGATAGCATCTCAACAAACGACAAGGAAGTTGAGTAGGTAAATCAGAGGTAACGAAGATAAGGCTAATACAATGAGCACCATATGTCAGTGGTAATGAGAGTCTAACAACTTTGGATACAAGTACCAGTTACTAGAGCAAGTTCTTGCAAACGGTGATTTTGCAGAATCTTCGGCCAACAGCATTGAAGGGTTGTCGTCTTAAAGGTCTACTGTTGATCACTCAACACTGAAGGTTCAGTTTTCAGCTGCATTTTGAAACTGGAATGGGGGGGCCAGTTCATTGAGCAACCTTTTCAGTCATCAAAAATATGCTGTTGTATCTGAGAATCAGTTTGAAGAACTGCTTTATTTCCCAGAATTTGATTGTTAGCTGGCATTTACCAAGAAAGCATGTAAATCCCCAGTTCTACAGCTTAAGAACAATGTTATTTTCTGCTCTGATCTCCTAGTTCACCCTGTTTGTGGCCCATTGTGATGCTACCGGTATGTTATTGCTGCAAGGTATCAGGATTCTGGCAGGACATGGATCAGAGCCTCCATGAGCAGAGCTTCTGAGATCCATCACATGAGATCGATACACTGGTCATACCGTTTATTATTGACATTGTTTACTTGCTCATAAACCTCAGATCGATGGCAGCTGTGATGGGAAACATGACCAAGTTGGTCATGCTCGCACTTGCACAACTCAAAAAAATTGTAAGTTTATCTATCTAGAATTGTGTCATTTTGATTCAAGCTTGAACTAAGAATCATATCCGGTGTGGGCTAAGTTTGATGACTATGGTTAGCCATAAATCAAGCGTTTTCTCGTGTCATATCAGATCGAATCCTCCGGTTATCAGTAAGAAACCAACAAGCTTTCAGCCTACCAGACTAAACCTTGCATGCCTTACAAAGCTTTTAGATCCTTCCTCTGTACAGCAGCCGGGGATTTATTCCATGATTTATTGACTTCGACTGCAATCCTCATCACTACTACGTTTTCTTCACATCATCTCAGTGTTAGTATTGTAGGATTTTTTTTTTGGTACTAAAAGAAAATCTTTTTCTCAGTTGACCATATAGTTTAATGAGAAGTCGAGCATTGGAATCGACTCTCTCTCTCTCTCTCTCGCTCTATATATATATATATATATATATATATATATATATATATATATATATATATATATATATATATTTTTTTTTTTTTTTCCTCTTGTCATATAGGTGTAGAACAAGACACGGTTTAACGTGCCGTTGGGGACAATGCAGGACGCTGGGCCGCTTGAGGCCCAACATGTGGTGTGGGTTGGGTCGACCATAACACTGAAGGTGTAAGGGAAGTGGGATCAGACGGATTTAAATTTATAGAAGAGGTGATTTGAAACCTTAATCTATGAAATAAACCAGTGTTCAATTAAAAGCTCGATCCCAAGTCATTTAGGGTTCTTCAATATAATGAAAAATGATCTCTTAGTCAAATTAGGAAGACCGTCCCCAACCCCGACGTCTAAATTCCAACACTACCCTTTAACAGCCTTCTTGTTGTTCTTGTCTGTTATTGCCTCGTAATGCAATGGCCATTATGATCTCTAACGCTAAGAGAGTCCTCGAAACCGTACATTGCATGGGCAAATATGTAATTTAGGCCATAAAACGTAAACCTATTCTTTTTCTTCCTATTTCTCTGCCGGAGACTCATATTTATCGCATCGGTTTGTTCTCGTCCCCCGGAAAGCGGTGATCGAAGGAAGGCGAGCGCGACGCAGAGATATACCCGAGATTCTTCCTCACACGATTCGCATCGTAGAAGACGACGACCGAGAGGTAGAAGGCCAGATTCCTCTTCCTCCTCTTCCTCCTCCTCCTCCTCCTCGGTTGGTCTTTGGCCGAGCCTCGACGAGCATCCGGCTTTCGTCGTCGCGCAAAGATCGGCCGATCGACCTCTACCCGCGGGGAAGATTGCCGGAAGGCAAGGGGATGGAGAAGTACGAGGTGGTGAGAGATATCGGGTCGGGGAACTCTGGAGTCGCCCGGTTGATGCGGAACAAGGAGACCAAGGAGCTCGTCGCCATGAAGTACATCCCCAGAGGTGAAAAGGTTCGTTCTTTGGCCCTCTTCCGATGTCATCTTCTCGTGGGATTTGGTCGTTCTGAACGGAGCACTATCGTGTTTCTTGTTTCTTGAATTCTTTGCGAGGGGTTAGATCGATGAGAAGGTGGCGAGGGAGATCATCAATCACCGGTCGCTTCGGCATCCCAATATTATCAGATTCAAGGAGGTGGGCTTTGGCTCCTCGTCGCGTCTGCTTAGGGTTTCATGATTCGTCGACGTACCTCTTGAGGAACGAAAAAGATCGGTTCCTTGATCTCTTGTTCCGTCGTTGTAGGTTGTGCTCACGCCCACGCATCTGGGGATCGTCATGGAGTACGCCGCCGGTGGAGAGCTCTTCGAGCGGATCTGCGTGACGGGAAGATTCAGCGAGGACGAGGTATTACCCCTCCCTTCATCTTCTTCCTTGTTGATTCTGCTCTAAAGCTCTGTTGCTGCATCTCTAGGCGAGGTACTTCTTTCAGCAGCTCATCTGCGGCGTCAGCTACTGCCACTTCATGGTAAAATCATAAATCAGTTTTAATCGGTAAAAGAAATGCAAATTTCATTTGGAATTGTCTGATTGAGTCCGATGTTTACAGCAAATTTGCCATCGAGACCTGAAGATGGAGAACACTCTGCTTGATGGCAGCCCGGCACCTCGACTCAAGATCTGCGACTTTGGTTACTCTAAGGTTAATCATAATATTCTTTTATGTGGTCTCCGATTGCAAGTGCTATTTCCATTCCTATGAACAAAATTGTTTATACTTACCTTTTTGTGTGGAGAATTTAGTCATCTGTGCTTCACTCGCGGCCGAAATCTACGGTGGGAAGCCCTGCATACATTGCTCCTGAGGTCCTCTCCCAGCGAGAGTACGATGGAAAGGTGAGCACCATAAATTGATTCTCTTCAGACTGGTTTTGTGGATATTTTGAAGACATTGTGGGGCCTACAACGATATGTTTGATGTAATCTATGTGAGATGACAAAGTCTTATTTGAGAGTAAGAAAGTCACTAAGATTTGCAAAGGACACGATCAGTTGGTCATGGTGAAAACAAAAACAAAAAAAAACAAAATATCGTAGAATTGTGAATGAATGACTTTATTATACAATTTAATGCCTCCACCATCCTAAGATTTATTTTGTGACAAAAAAAATTATCAGAGAAGAGTCTTTGATACCTGAATACAATTCAGAAACATTTTTGATGTAGCTATTGACTTATCATGGATATGGACACTGTAAAAGTTGGATGAACATTTTGCATATAATTTTACCACATCTAATTTGTTTACCTACTCCAGCATATAAAATCTGATGCATGTACATGGTAGGAGTTTTGTCATGTTATTGTCTTCAAAAAAGTTCCCCTTATGCTGCTATCTTGTTAGCTTGTCCTAAGAGGTGTATATGTCCATGTAGATGGCAGATGTATGGTCCTGTGGTGTTACATTATATGTGATGTTGGTGGGAGCCTACCCCTTTGAAGACCCAGATGACAAGAAAAATTTCAGGAAGACCATTGAGGTGAAATCTTTTTGAACTTAAATGCCTGTGATTTTGTTTCCAGTCTCCTCTGCTTCCTATGTTACTAAACAGGACATGAGTTTTGTACCATTCGGCACTTGATGTTCTAGCTTTGATTGCAGAGAATAAGGAGTGTTCAGTACAAGATACCCGAATATGTTCATCTCTCCCAGGACTGCAGGCATCTTCTCTCTCGGATCTTTGTGGCCAACCCTGCAAAGGTAATTCATAAAACTTTATGGTGTGTAACCTGAGAAATGAGTGAGTTGCTGGTAAAATTTGTGAAGATAAGCAACATGTTAAATTTGTCAAGTGTGGTGTGGGAGATCGACATCGTCACGGAGTTGTTGGAGAAAAGGAATTTAGGGTTTGATATATAACATGTTAAATCTCTTTCTGCAGAGGATAACGATCAAGGAGATAAGGGAACACCTTTGGTTCTTGAAAAATTTGCCTAGAGAGCTAACAGAAGCAGCACAAGCAACGTACCGCAAGAAGGATGACAACATGCCCACCTATTCCCTTCAGAGTGTGGCAGATATAACTCAGATCGTCAGGATGGCAAGGGTTCCACCATCATCAGCTTTCGATGCAGGCTTCAGCTGGCCTGACGATGAAGAGGAGCCGCAGGAGGGCAAGCAAGAGTAACTGCACAATGAAGCAGAGGAAGAAGACGAGCATGACAAGCCAAAAAAATAGTGGGCTGGCTACACCCAACTGGTTGATTTCCCCCAGAGGCAAAAAAAAGCAACAAAAAAAGGAAAAAAAAAAAAAAAAAAAAAGAGGAAGGAAAGAAAGAAACAGTGTTCAATATTCTTCGTGGTTACTTTTGTCCTTGTTTCTTTCGTTACATGTTTATAATGAATGATCTTTTATCTTGTACTTCTTATCATATGAATACGTTCTGTGCATAACATTGCTCCCATTCTTTCATCCAAAGAAAAAGAACATCTAGATCAGCTTAAATTTAGATCAAATCAATCATGGTTGAACCGACTAGTTTCTGCTATGCAAGTTTAACTGGCTGTGCAATTTTTGCATGCTTGACTTGCATATAATATTTTCCATTGATCTTATCTAAATTACATATGCCCTCCTCAATTCTTTGAATCTGATACCTGACACTACAGTCATGTAATTTGCCTTAGCAAAAACTTAGAAGTGATTTCTAAAGTTTATTTAGGTCAGAAGTGCATGTGAAGACTTTCCTAATATTATATGTGCAATATAAATAATAATTTGGATTTGTATGGTCTTTTTAATGTTTTTGTACAGTAATTGGTTTTTCAGTCTACACCATATACTACACAACAAAAAAATATATGTTGGCATATATTTGAATAAATAGGAATTCTATCCAATAATATTAGTAAATTTCTGTTTTACTTGTATCCATGAGCATATCCTAACACCATCTCCTTCCTACAACCGTAACCGTCTCTTTATGCACTTGGTTCTGCTTTCAGAGAAAGTCCTATTTGGATATACTACTCTATGATCCCTTAGAGGAGTTTTCCATATACCTACTAGTCGATCTCTTAGTCCAAGGTGAAGTGTTGTTTCTCTATCGATCTATTAGTTAGCAAATTTCTCAAGCAAATCTATTTGTTATACTGTAAGATGCAAACAGGGGCAACACTCTGTACCTGATCATAATCAAAAGCCTCCTTCGAGGCATGATCTCATGTGCTATCATGCCCCCACCGGCAGCCCTCGGAAGAAAACTACCGATCCAACCATCGCGTGTGGCTTCAACGAATCCCGATCCGATGAGGCTGGCGTGTCCAGCAACGATCGCCCCGCGCCCGAGGAGTACATGCTTCCACAGCTACCGACCGGCCTGAGATTTGCCGTCGTCGAGATCTCGCCTAGTGACCGATCATCGAACGGCTTCCAGGTCGAAGTTGTCGGCCTCCGAGATCGAGCAGTGCGATCCTTTTGCCTCTGCACCGAACCTTCAACCCAAACTCGGTAATCCTGCCAGAAAAAGAAGAAAACACACTTTGATGTGAAGAATCCAGAAACATGTCCAAGACTTAACAATCATACATCAGAAGACAAAGAGATCAGAAGAGAATCCATCAAACGAAACAAGAAAATTCGGCAAAGATGAGGAGGGGATGGAACCCAGGAGTCTCGAGATGCCGAAGGAGAACAACCAGAGGAAGCGAAGGAGGCAGCGATCAAATGATGAGGTGGGGGGAGGGGTGGGAGGGAGATGAGAAACGGCAACGGAGGTCGGTATTTATAAGGGAGCGGTGCACCGATCTCGCTCCCTCTTTCTCGTGTTCCCTGGCTGAGCGAGACAGGTGATCTTCGTTCGAGCATTAACGATGCCGAGTAACCTGATGAAGTTAAATTCTCTACGTGATCAGATATATACATGATGTCGTGGGTCAAAGTTAGGTATTAACTCATGAAGCTATATGATATGAAATGAGCATATATTTATTTATTTATTTACTAATCTGAGTGTCAGAAAGATCAAATTAAAAAATCCATCCATTCACATCAGTTTGTGGGACCAAATCTAAATACTTTTTACGTATACGGCTTAGAACCAAATCCGTCAAGAAGGAAGAATTAACACTTTTGGCTGGAATATGTGTCCATGCAACCCACACACAAATCTGAGAAACCCTCTCAAACGGAATAATTCCAAGGTGTTAAGAGTCAAAGTAAGCCAATCGGTAATAATTTGATATCCTGAATAGTTAATGATCTTTAATGTCCAAAAATCTCATGTTTCAAATGTCTCATCCATGTGGAAGCAATGTGTAGACTATAACATAAGAAGTCAACTACAAAGAATCAATTAGATGAGACATGCAACAACACAGAAACAACTGGATTTAGGAAATCTAAAGCATCAACAGGATTTCTGACTGTAATCTCATCATCATGACGATTTCTTTGCTTCGACGACGTGCTGATGGACTGTAAACAAGGCATGCATAAATCCTTTAGGCCGAAATTGTTGGTGTTGGATCCGCAAACTTATGCTGGACTTCTAGGATTAATATCCTACGTGCAGTCTGATACAAAACACGAAACAAAGAATATACCAAGTTGTTATCACAAGAATTGTAGTATCCTAGGCGGTCTTGATGAGAAACAGGCTCTTAGAACACATGAAGCAGAAGATAGAGTTATCACATTTTTCTTTACCAGTCTTGTTTGATTCATTATGTCCTGTTAAGTACTCAATCAGCATTAGTAGATGCATAATATGCAGAGGTACCTTCTAGAGCTTCTAGTGTGCGGACCTGGAGAGGAGTTCTTCTAGTTCATCCACGATTGCATCATAGCAGAAGAAATATTGTTCCTGACAATTAAAGTCCAAGAATAGATCAGCAGTATAATTCCTGCAGTTCATGGTCTCAACAACTATCCATTGCCTATTATCATCTTTTTATTGATTGATTTCCTATAGACAGCACTGGCAGTTCAAGTTGTTACAAAGTTGATTAGTACAATATGATATTAGTCACATGTGCATGTATTGTCATATGCACAATTCCCATGTTCAATGTATTATGATAATATTGGATCCTAATCAATTTTCATTATATCAATATATCTGGACAATTAAGTTCCTACTGATATTTGTTCCATTGGATCTTTGGTTTATTCATGATATCAATATGAATGTCAATCCCAAGAGCTTAACATTTCATCCTTCTGCTGTTGAGATATTACTAAAATTCCACTTGCCTTATACATATATATATATAAACTTATGAGGTTCAGCAACAAATATATGGAGAAGTGTCTCATCGGCAGACAATTCTGTAATTTTTTTTGCCGATCTCACATTCAGCCTTCCGTACTCTTGAGTATTATATATCATCCAGCATAAACAGGAAAAAGGCTCAGATGATCAGATTCATCCCACAAAAGGTTAGTGTGGATACTCTTCAACATTTAACTGGTAATGTTGCTGTTAAGAGTTAACAAATGTTTTTTATTTTCTTTTGAAGCCATTTCTTGTCAAGACACCTAATTCCATTAGATAAAAGCAAACTATATGTAGCAGATTATTGTGTATCTATATGTTAGTAAAGAATAAAAGAAACATGAGGAATTGGAGATACCATTGTCTGAACCATCCCTAGCCGTTGTGATCTGAACTCAGAAATAGTTTTCTTAAGATCTAAAGAAGACATATCACCAATGAGAACCCTTTGCAGTGTGTTGTGAATGGTACAATACGTACCAGTTCTCCCAATACCTGCACTGAGCAAAAAGAACATAGTGTGTCAGGCTTCGGATTCGGTGAGGAGAAGGATATTAAGGCAAATGAGCAAATTGTTGAGTTCTGAACCTGCAATGCACAACAATGGGGCCAATTTCTGGTGGTAAATGATGTGTCATTTCAAAAATTTCCCGAACTGATGCAGTATCCTCAGGCACCCCATGATCAGGCCATTCAGGGTACTGGATATGGAGAACCGAAAGGGCTGGTTTCACCAACTACAAGAAAAGCAACCGGAAATAAAAATTCACCATTAAGGAAACAAGTAAAGATCAAAATAGAAGTTTCCACTAACAATAAGCAGTCTAAGTATATTGATAGAAAAAAAAAATCACTACATAGAGGATTTGCAAGAACACAAAATTCAAATGAACCAAGAAAGAAATCACTTGAAACTGACACAACACTGTTAAAAGGTCATGTATCTTGCTAATCCATTTCAGATGCGCTATAACATATAACAAGATCAGGAAAGTTTGACAGAATGTTTTCTTAGCCCATAATACAGCTCAGACAAGCTTCCTGTCCCCAAACCAACAACATAAAGGTAACCTTTAATTAAGAAAATTGCTTCAATAAGTAAAAAGCATAAGTTTATAATATATGTGCACACATTACCAAAACTTTTGGCATGTTGTCAATATAGTTTATAGTGACTATTAACATTAGCAGACAAATTGTTGAAAAGTCTTATAAAAAAAGGTAAAAGAGAGATAAATTGTTAAACATGTAAAATAACGCCATAATTGCATTTTTATATCCCTGTAAGGACAAACAGAAATGTCAGAAGAAAATCAACGTTTGTTTCACCTCTTTGTGTTTCACTTCCAAGCGGCGCAGCACTAATGAAGAATCAGATGTTCTCGTATATTTCGTCTCAATACTGATTTTTCCAAATTCTCTGAGCCCATTTTGTGCTTGAAAATAATTAGCACATTTCCTCATCATCTGCCAGTTTTCCGAGATAAAGATAATTGTTCAAGATAATGGAGCACGATGTAACAGCAGTGAGAACAAGGTGAATTAAAGTATATTTGCAGAAAATTGTGCAAATCATGGAATTGTTGCATCATCTATTGAATGGTAATTCTACACAAAAAAGCAGTAGTAGCCTAGACAAAATTACAGAGCTTCAAATCAACAAGAAGAAATATGAAAAAGAATTATAGATGAAAGAATATCATGTCCAGATGAAATCCAGTAGCCTACCAATAAATGTGTCTATGTATAGAAAGAGATTCATCTAAGTTATCAGAGAATAACAATGATAGATGAAACTTGAATTGGCATGTTTCATCTTCTTATATACCATCCTCTAGATGTTAAAGTTGCGAATCATCTCTTGTTTTCATTTTCCTTCTAGTAGCAGTCAGCTAACAACATCATAAGATATCCATGTCATTTCTAATTTTAAATCGGTGTTTCCATCCTATAAGTGATTATTGAATTAGTGTTCAATTAAGGCAAACACGAAGAATGTCTGCCAAAGCAATAAGAAGACAGTATTCATTTTGGTAGCTATCACAATACCCCTAATGAATATTAGAGTCTCATTTAGGCATATTATTGTGTTTGATAGTCAATGTAATGTCGAACTAATTCTTATAAACCTAAAAGAAGGTCAAATGAAATATGTCGTAGTGTACCATTAGCGATTCTTTGTTTGGTCAATTAAGTCAAGATTATTAGCATGCAATAGTATGCAATTTTTACATAATTATACAATGCTACCTTAACAAGAAGTTTATTTCCATTTGAATAGCAATATATCTATGTTGGTTGATGGAAGTCAGCAGCAAAACTTGAAAAGAAATAGGGACAGCATAATGATTTGACTCACAGAACATATAATACTCATGGATAAATCTTGAATGGTGAAACCAGTAACATCAAAGATGATATAAAAAAAAAAGATTTTACAACATAAATTGCAATAAAATAAGTACCCTGTGATTATCAACACGTGTTAGCATCACGATTGCAGGACAACGATATTCAAATACCATCTCCCAAAAATCTTCAAAGGTCTCAGGGAGTGGACCTTGTGTAGCAATAAACTGCGAGACTTTTTCACCAGATGCTAGCTGCATTTAAGATTTGTCAAGGTCAAAGAAAAATACTCACCAAGCATGTTCACCGACTTGGTCCACTGGGCATAACTATGCTCTTTCAAGGTCAACATGACAAAATAATAGTGCTAGTAGGGTGACTGTACCCCAATAAGACTCGCATTGATATAATTGTTCCTCAAGGAGGTGCTGTCCCTTGTTGAATTGAGAACGATCCTGTTATTGTCAACTGAAAGAGAAAAAAGGAAACTAAGAAACCTTCTACGCCAGAATTCCAAGATAACCAAAATGCTTCAATTATTTGGAAAAGAAGATCCCTCTGTGCAATTACATGGGAGAATATCTGTGTAGCGATTTTTATCCAAGTTTGCATCTCGCAGAGCCACGGAACACTTTCTCACAATCTCATCCATCGTTGGCCTCATCTCCTGGCACAAAAGCACACCCAAACCAAGATCTCAGATTTCTTGGAGGAAGCACCGAGATCAACAATTAAAAAAAATCAAGCGTTCAAAAATTAAACTTATTACCTCAAAAAAAGGTCCACAAGGTTAAAGAAAGAAAGACAAACAAAAGGCAAGAAATTGAACGTTATCCTAGATCGAGATTCAAATGGCTATCCGATGAAGACGGCGGCAAGAGAGGGATCGAGTGAGACCTGGAGACGGTGGAACTCCTGGGCGATCCTAGTAGGGGTTCTGAGCTTCTCCTTGAAGAAATCTAGTGCTTCGGAGCAGTACTTTAGCTGTTCACCCGAGGGGCGGAGCGGCGGTGGCGGATCGGAGCAGAGACCGCCTAGGTTGAAGGTGGAGGAGGGGGCGGGGACGGGGGCGGAGACGGCAGCCATCGCCGGTGCGCGAGCCCCGCAGCAGCGGCCTGTGCAGTTTCCCGTCGCTTCGGAGCCTCTCGCTCTGTGGAAGCCCCAAAAGATGTGATCGGAGAAGTGAGTCGGCAAGGTAGAATGGGCTAATACACAGATAGGTATTCTTACATATTAGTCCTCATACTATTTAGTATTTTCATATTAGTTTCGTTGTCTGTTGTATTTACATTCTACACCTCAATATTAATTTTTTCTAACCTTGAACCTTCTGGTCATCATACATTCTCCCGAGTTCTTAATCACCAGCTCTAATTATTAGTCTTCCTAAAATTGAAGTCCCTTATTTAAAGAATACACATATTATATACATCATCAATTTAACTGAACTAGAAGGTTCTTAAAATAATTAGGGGAAAGAACGGTATTGTCAACTCATCCCAGACCAAGGAAGCCACCGAAGCAATGACATGAAAACTCTCAACAACCCTCTACGTCCATTAACAAGAGATCGGCCCACGATTCCTAACAATCTCAACCTCCCGAAAAGGGTTTGCAAGATCCATGCATCGTTGACATCTCCAGTCCCAATTGAAGCAAGGCCCATGCACCCGTATTAATGATCGACGGCATGGCTCAACTCTTTCGACCTTTCCTTTCGGACAAAAGGATAGGGACCACTCCTTGTTTCACCTAAACAGGTCAAGAGCCCAAACAAGGAAAGACATCATGATCGACCAGCATTAGTGTCGCCCTTGAAAAGATGCCCCCATCAACGTCTTCATTAATGACCCCCATATAGCAAGGTAAAGGGGAGCCTCATTGATCTTCCTCCCTCCTACCATATACTCAAGTATAAAAGCCAAGCCCCCATACTAAACAGGGTAGGCGGGCTTTCACTATCTCTTTTCACAACTCTTCCTTAATAACTCTCATTCTCCATTGGATTGGTTGGGTTAGGACATCTTCCTGATGCTGACCTGTTGTGCAGGGCTCTCCGTGTAAGTAAGCAAGACTATAGGGGATGTGGCATCCATTGGCTAAGCAAAGCGCTCCTTAGACCAGACTTTGTCTTCTCCGATGAACAAACCACACCTCAAGACATCCATAAGCCACCAACCACAGGCCAATTGTTTCTCACAAATCAGTCCATCGCACTCACTTTCTACTTAATCTAATGTGATAGCTTACGTGGAACCTAAAAGGGCCTATGTTTTTGACACTGAATCCAATCGAGCTGACTCACCGGTCAACGACCTTCGTGTAACAATAAATACTAAAAATTCCTAGAAATATATTGAAAATGTGCCAAAAAAAAAAAGCAAATAGAACTCTTATATATATATATATATATATATATATATGTTGCTATGTTGCATAGAAGAACATTACAGTTCAAGTGGCGTGCCAACTCAGAAGTCTGTCTCTCAAACCAACGTTAGGTGCAACGAACACCATCAGTCCTGAGAGCATTACCTGTAATGGCACAGTGAATCGAGGACATCAGGGACTGTGCCATGTTGGGCAGGAAGTCCTTTCCCATCTCTATTTGTTTTCTCTCTCGTTCTTCTGCTCACAAAAACATGGATGTATGAAGCAAGTTTGATTTCTGGCACCCATAAAAGATGGTCGGCTGTGATGTCCTAAAAGGCTGCAAGTGGAGATGGATAAAGATGATGCAGATAGAGAGAGAAAGTAGATAACAAAATGAACAAGGAAATGAAATCATGTGCTAATGGAACAGGAAATGCTTACTGAAAAGTAGAGCTACCGACCAAATCCAGCCAAACACAACTCAATCAAGTGAGTTGCTCAAGGATTAGTGTCGATGAGCTCAGTACTCGATTCACCTCCTCTCTCATATAAATCGAGCATTCGACTCTCTTCCCTCGTCCCACCACTCGACCTCTCCCTTTTGATCTCTTCTCTTCTTTCTTCTTGAGCTTGAAACCACCATAGCTAGCCAGCATGGGCAGGTCTCCGTGCTGTGAGAAGGCTCATACGAACAAGGGAGCTTGGACGAAAGAGGAAGACGAGAAGCTGATCTCTTACATCAAGGCCCATGGCGAAGGCTGCTGGAGATCACTCCCCAAAGCTGCAGGTAGGTACCTTATTCTGAGAAACTTAGGGTTAATCGTATGTCGCTTGCAGTTGTTATCTACTGGGGATTTGCCTGCTCTTGAAGGTCTGCTTCGATGTGGCAAGAGCTGCCGGCTCAGGTGGATAAACTACCTCCGCCCCGATCTCAAGCGCGGCAACTTTACGGCGGCAGAAGACGAGCTCATCATCAAGCTCCATGGCTTGCTTGGGAACAAGTACATACTAGATCACCTCCTTCTTCTTTTCCTGTGAATATGATGCCAGTGAGATAAGATGATCCCAATACTTGAGCATGAATTGATCTGTTTGATGGTTTCAGATGGTCTCTCATAGCAGGGCGATTGCCGGGTAGGACCGACAACGAGATCAAGAACTACTGGAATACAACCATCAAGAGGAAGCTCCTCGGCCGTGGCCTCGACCCTCAGACTCACCGACCCATCGAGCTGATCACTAACCCCTTCGCTACCTTAAAACAACAAGACGTGTCCATGGCTCAGGACTGCACGACTGTAGCAAAGGTCATAAACTTCTCCAGCGACGACGGCAGCAGCAGCAGCACCGACCTCAATCTCGATCTCTCCATAAGCCTTCCTTACCACCCTTCTGCAGAAGTGTCAGTGGCAACCACATCACAATACTTTGTGCTGCAATCTCGGTTTAACCCAAGCTAGTACTGAAGCCTATAGCTGCGCCCAGAACATCCCAAAAACACTTGTATTTAGTTACAGTAGAGGAAGGACAACACATACAGCTTAGATGAGTAAAGGTGCTTCAGTAGCCAATTCTGATGTGTGTACTTTTTTTGCATGCGAAAAAGGTTCTTCTGCAACAAAACGAACTGAAGTGATAAGGGAAGCCCGGCACCGGCGGGTACGTTCTCGTTGTTGGCATCCGATTTGAGGCCTTTTTGTCACGTAGGGTGGCGTGGGGAAACATGTGAAGTTCTTGGTCGCACAAGAATCAGTAGTTTAATGATTGATGACATGAATGAAACAAGGTTGGGTGCTGTGCCCGCAGGATAACATCAGACAGTAGGCGAATAAATTATTCTCCAGTTTATTGACATGACCTGTGAGGAGTCTCCAGCTTGCTCATCCAACTTAGACTGCCTCAAAGCAACCTAAATGTCACTGCTTATTCCTAGTTTGTTAATTGTAAGGCATGCTTAGGATGTTTAATTAAATCTTGATCCACTTAATTGGAATTGCTTTGGACCAGGATAACAATTTGAGGCTGTTGACGACACGGGACAGGCTTTGCGATTATTTCAATAATGCATCAAGGCCCATAGCCGTATAATAATGCATTAGAGAGAGAGAGTGAGAGAAAGCTATTTGGCAAGTCCCATAGTCGGAAAATCAGATTTGTTATCTTCTATTAAAACTATAAATAAAGGTTTGAGCTTTGAAGTCATATATACCACAAGTGGCATCACAAGAAAAACCTAAGTGTTTGCTTTGGGTTTAAGTCCACACTCAGTTATCTTTCGTCCGTGGATGTAGGTCAAAGTCAATTGACTAAATCATGTAAATCTGATGTTCTTGTCGGCTAGTTCTAACAGCTACTACTTCCTTTTCTTGTCATTTTGCGTCTCGCTCTAGCAGAAGCCGTACATGGGTCAGCCCCTGATATAGCTGGAAAGGTAAATGATTTTCTCTATATTCAGTTGTATGCATTCTGTCCTTTAGTGAATCAATCAGAATTCTGAACAACAGATCATATAGCGTGCATTTATTTTCATTAGTTTATATGATTTGGTTTGTTTATTGTTGGTGTGTATATTTTTGCATGGTAACTCGTAGGTTATTTTTATGCCCTGTTTTGCAGTATGATGCCTTCCTGCTTTTGTTTGATCTGTTTTGGAATTTGTGTGTCCAGAATCTTGCAAACCCCACTGCTCTCCTGCTGAGTTCCGTTATGATGTTGCGCCACTTGAGGCTTACTGACAAAGCTGACCAAATCCACAATGCTATACTTAATACCATTTCAGAAGGAAAGTATCGAACGGTTGATCTTGGTGGGAATTCGTCAACTACAGATTTTACAAAGGCAGTATGCGATCATCTTTAGAAAGTTTGTGGCAGCACACCCGGATAACTGGTATACATAGTAATTGCTAGTTTGAGTCGGTTGTAGATTGCCCACACTAGTATATTAAGTTGCAATCACATGAATAATGAA